CTTGACACCCTGACACTAATTTTATTCAAGCCATTGGGAAATAAGTGTTTTAAAAGCACTCCTTTCCCGAACACTGGAGCTAGTGGGGGCTGTGAGGTCGTTAAGGAAAAGAAAGGGTAAAGTTTGCAGAACACAAAAAAAGAATTAAATAATCCATTTAAAATACACGTCTATGTAGATCGACAGGCTTTAATGCCCACATTTTTAACGCTTGCCCTGTACACGGATTGATTTTTTTTTTTTTTTTTTTTCCCTTCAGCATTCCCTTACCAGATGGATTTTTGCTACTGCAGATCAGCAGAGGGTGTCAGATCTTTCAGAGTGCACCAGGCTGGAACGAGCAGAGCTTCTTAGCAACTCTCTTCTCCGCCCCCCCCCCCCCACCATTCTCGCGCTCTCTGCCTCCCTCAGACAACTCGCCCCCCGCCCTCCGCCCCACCCCCCCACGTAATTCCGAAAGAGCAGAAGAAAGAGAAGGGGAACGAGAAAAGGAGAGCCAGTAAGCAAGAACCGGAGCCCAGGAAAAAAGGCTGAAGAGAAACGAACGGGAGGAAAGGAGAAGGATGGACAGCCACAAAACGCGGCGATTGCGGAAATTTTCCAGCGCCATTGGCTGGGCAGCGTGAGTCCTTTGGTAAGGAGTGGTTTCAGCACCGGGGGGACTGGACAGCACCTCCGGGGGACTTCGGGGCAACCCGCAACCTCAGCGAGAACTCCACCGGCAGCCTCCACAGCAGAAGCCGCGGAAAAGCCTGCTTTGTATCAGAGAGGCAAGGTCAGTCCGACGCGCAGCCATGCACAGGCAGTGCGCCCGTACTACGCTGCAAACCCTCTGCTTGTTTCACTAACGTGCACTTGCCCCTAATTACTAGCATTGTTTCCTTTCTGATTAGTGAAGACCAGTAGACGAGAGTCTGTAAGGGTGTACTTTTAGTTTATATGTATATATTTAACTTCTTTTGGTTATATTTAAAGGGTTGAGGGGAAAGTGCTTTTTTTTTTTTTTTTTTTTTTTTTTTTTTGCTTGTCTTGCACTACGTGCCTGGATAGTTTGTGGATATAATTATTGACTGGCGTCTGGGCTATTGCAGTGCGGGGGGGTTAGGGAGGAAGGAATCCATCCCCACCCCCCCAAACCCTTTTCTTCTCCTTCCCTGGGTTCGGACATTGGAGCACTAAATGAACTTGAATTGTGTCTGTGGCGAGCAGGATGGTCGCTGTTACTTTGTGATGAGATCGGGGATGAATTGCTCGCTTTAAAAATGCTGCTTTGGATTCTGTTGCTGGAGACGTCTCTTTGTTTTGCCGCTGGAAACGTTACAGGGGACGTTTGCAAAGAGAAGATCTGTTCTTGCAATGAGATAGAAGGGGACCTCCACGTAGACTGTGAAAAAAAGGGCTTCACAAGTCTGCAGCGTTTCACTGCCCCGACTTCCCAGTTTTATCATTTATTTCTGCATGGCAATTCCCTCACTCGACTTTTCCCTAATGAGTTCGCTAACTTTTATAATGCGGTTAGTTTGCACATGGAAAACAATGGCTTGCATGAAATCGTTCCGGGGGCTTTTCTGGGGCTGCAGCTGGTGAAAAGGCTGCACATCAACAACAACAAGATCAAGTCTTTTCGAAAGCAGACTTTTCTGGGGCTGGACGATCTGGAATACCTCCAGGCTGATTTTAATTTATTGCGGGATATAGACCCAGGGGCCTTCCAAGACTTGAACAAGCTGGAGGTACTTATACTAAATGACAATCTCATCAGCACCCTACCTGCCAACGTGTTCCAGTACGTGCCCATCACCCACCTTGACCTCCGGGGAAACAGGCTGAAAACGCTGCCCTATGAGGAGGTCTTGGAGCAAATCCCTGGTATTGCTGAGATCCTGCTAGAGGATAACCCTTGGGACTGCACCTGTGATCTGCTCTCCCTGAAAGAATGGCTTGAAAACATTCCCAAGAACGCCCTGATCGGCAGAGTGGTCTGTGAAGCCCCCACCAGACTGCAGGGTAAAGACCTCAATGAAACCACCGACCAGGACTTGTGTCCTCTGAAAAATCGAGTGGATTCTAGTCTCCCGGCACCCCCTGCCCAGGAAGAGACCTTAGCTCCTGGGCCCCTGCCAACTCCTTTCAAGACTAATGGGCAAGAGGATCATGCCACCCCGGGGTCAGCTCCAAATGGAGGTACAAAGATACCAGGCAACTGGCAAATCAAAATCAGACCCACGGTAGCGATAGCGACGGGGGGCGCCAGAAACAAAGCCCCAGCCAACAGTTTGCCCTGCCCTGGGGGCTGCAGCTGCGACCACATCCCGGGGTCGGGTTTAAAAATGAACTGCAACAACCGGAACGTGAGCAGCTTGGCTGATTTGAAACCCAAGCTCTCCAACGTGCAGGAGCTTTTCCTTCGAGATAACAAGATCCATAGCATCCGAAAATCGCACTTTGTGGATTACAAGAACCTCATTCTGTTGGATCTGGGCAACAATAACATCGCTACCATGGAGAACAACACTTTCAAGAACCTCTTGGACCTCAGGTGGCTGTACATGGATAGCAATTACCTGGACACGCTGTCTCGGGAGAAGTTCGCGGGGCTGCAGAACCTAGAGTACCTGAACGTGGAGTACAACGCGATCCAGCTCATCCTCCCCGGCACGTTCAATGCCATGCCCAAACTGAGGATTCTCATTCTCAACAACAACTTGCTGAGGTCCCTCCCCGTGGACGTGTTTGCCGGGGTCTCCCTCTCTAAGCTCAGCCTGCACAACAATTACTTCATGTACCTCCCGGTGGCAGGGGTGCTGGACCAGCTAACCTCCATCATCCAGATAGACCTGCACGGAAACCCCTGGGAGTGTTCCTGCACCATTGTGCCTTTCAAGCAATGGGCAGAGCGCCTGGGTTCCGAAGTGCTGATGAGCGACCTCAAGTGTGAGACGCCAGTGAACTTCTTTAGAAAGGATTTCATGCTCCTCTCCAATGACGAGATCTGCCCCCAGCTGTACGCTAGGATCTCGCCCACGCTAACTTCGCACAGTAAAAACAGCACTGGGTTGGCGGAGACTGGGACGCACTCCAACTCCTACCTAGACACCAGCAGGGTGTCCATCTCTGTGTTGGTCCCGGGACTTCTGCTGGTATTTGTCACCTCCGCCTTCACCGTGGTGGGCATGCTCGTGTTTATCCTGAGGAACCGAAAGCGGTCCAAGAGAAGGGATGCCAACTCCTCCGCGTCCGAAATTAATTCCCTCCAGACAGTCTGTGACTCTTCCTACTGGCACAATGGGCCTTACAACGCGGATGCGGCCCACAGAGTGTATGACTGTGGCTCCCACTCGCTCTCAGACTAAGACCCCCACCTCCCCGGGGAGGGGAGCGGAACGGTGATACACCCTCCCCAGGGGCTGGAGGAGCGTTGACCCAGATCCAGAGTGCCACAAGCCTTGATGGGCATAAGTAAATAAATAACTAGGAACTCGCTCAGCTGAAGGCTCTGCCCCTTAGCCCCCTTCTGGAAACAAAGAGCAGACTGTGGCGAGCTGGAGAGCGCAGCCAGCTCGCTCTTTGCTGGGAGCCCCTTTTGACGGAAAGCCCAGCACAGACTCTGCTGGAAGAATCGCCAGTGCTGTTCCCTCGAGGAGGGGCCGGGGGATGGATGCCCCGGTTCTATACATATATACATATATCCACATCTATATAGAGAGATAGATATCTATTTTTCCCCTGTGGATTAGCCCCGTGATGGCTCCCTGTTTGCTCTGCAGGGATGGGCAGTTGCACGAAGGCATGAATGTATTGTAAATAAATAACTTTGACTTCTGACAAAAAGAAAAAAAAAATCACAAAAAGTGCTGCATGGCTAGCATGGAATCCACGCACTCCAGGGACTCTGCCCGCCCCCGCGACTGGAGATGGCATCTCATTCACAGCACCCACCCTCTTACCTGATAAGTCCCATCGTATCAAACTTTCTATAAACAAAATACAGTATAATCAGAAAGTGCCATTTCACCATTATTTGTGATCGGTAGGCAGTTCAGAGCATACGTTTACTGTGAAAAAAATGTAAAGGTTTTATTTAAGACGTTTGCATGGCTTGTCATCAGTCCATTTTATGAGTTAACAATGTATTTTGTTGAGGGACGTTTTTAGGGGTTGTTTTGGACCCTTTTATTTTGATGGTGATGTTTTATTTTATTTTTTTGAGGGGGAATATTTTTCTATACATATCCAATAATGCCTTCCATCTGAATGTACAATAAGTACCCATGATTTCTATTATAGTATCAATGTAATTATTTAAAAAAAAGATTTTGAGGCAGTTAAGCATGACCAATTAATGTCACTCTAGTGCTAGGCTGCGATCCTATGGTAGCAATTCTGTGCTGGTATAAATCTTACTTATAAAGTAGGAAAAAAGAACCGAGGAAGCACGTGAAACTTACTAATTCTATTCGAGGATTTTATAATGGCATATTTTTTCAGTATTAAAGTGAAAATGTTTTCAACTCTGGGTCCTTACCTTTTTCCAGCTTCGTATTTACAACTGGTAAATTGGATTTGCGTGGCAGGGAAGGGGGAGGGGACCGGTTGGGGGCGGATCCTTTCCTGAGCTCCTGTGAGGCTCTTTCTGGAATCGCCTTGCTTAGCATTTTAACCTTAGCGTAGCTCCTCCCCTCAACCTCCGCTAAGACTCTGCCAGATTCCCTCTGCCCCTGAAGTAAGGTCTTCCCCCAACACACTCCCTGTTTCCCTCCCTCTCCCGTAATGCAGCAGTGAATCCCTTTATTAATACTGGAAACCCCTCGCTGCAGCTTTTGTTGGTGCTGCCCACACTGCAGATAAATTAAGGATGTTAGGAGAGATTTGATTTAATTGACTCTGCCTAGATCGGTCTCATTAAACAGAGTGGAGATTTCATTGGTCAGCACTCCACCATGAAAGGCAGCCCTAATGACTGGCATTTGAGATGCTGCTGGCATTTTGAATTCAACATCTGCTGAAAACGGTAAAACTAATTAGTGCCCACCCACCTTCCCCGCCCCAGCAACTGTATACTGAAATTTGTTAAAGCGCTCATCTTTATGAAAATCAATCATTATCTTAAAGAAGTGTTTCTCTTCCAGTCATCAGGGTTTCTGGTTGTGGCCCAGTAATTAACAAGAAAAGCATTGAACTGTTTGAATGTTACAAACCAGTGTAACTCTGGCCTCAATCACATTCCTCTGGGATTCCCAACTGTTTTACCAACAATTTGGCTGCAAAAAACAAACAAAACCACACTTATTGATGGGAGTCTGCATTCCACCACATATCCGCCCTCCAAAAGTATATCAAAAGACTGCAGACCACAGTTTTTTTTTTTTTTTTCCTAAGTACAAGACTATAAATCAACTAATGAAAGCCCTCAGAGCAGTTGTAAGTAGATTTGCCTTCTAGAACTCATATTCTAAAGGACAATGATTTCCCAGAACAGTGATATTCTGGAATATGTATTATTTATTTTAACACTATTTTAATAAAATCTTTATTATACACCATGACTACTCCTAAGGCCATTCATCATTTTCTCTCTTGATTCTTTTCTTTGTGGACTGCCTTTCATGCCAGTAATTTTATAACTTACTATCATCTGAAAAATCTTATGTTTTTTTTAAATTGTATTAATTTTTTATATGAAGGCTTCATTTTCTTAATGCAAAGTACAACTGGGTTCCTGGTAAGAAATCAACAGATTTATTTGTGATAAAAAATTGGAAGAGAAGGAGAGTCATGTATTCAATAATATGACTTTAAGAAAGAAAACAAAAACAAAATAGAAAATGTACAAACATCTCTGGTGAAAGATGACCTTTAATGAAAGGTATCTAATGAGGCATAGCATTAATTTTGAAACTGGCACATGGCTAGTCTAGATCAGAAACGTAGAAATTCTCAGAGAACAGAGAACGTGTGCAGAAGGGCAAGAAATTCTCTTCATCCTCATTAAAAACAAATTACAATACAGAAGTCAAGGGTTGGCTTTGAGCAGTCATTGTATGCCAAGCATGTGCTGAGTGATTAGTATAATTATTTAATTTAACCTTCACAACTGCAGGTTACTTTAGTAAGATACTCTTATTCCCATTATACAGATGAGAATGTTGAGGCTTTTCTCAATTTTCTCTAAGAAGACTTAGCAATAACTCATCTTACACATGATAAATAGTGGAGTGGGATTTTTTAAGTTTTTTTTTTTTTTTGCATTTGGCTAGGGCTGGGTTTGAACCCACCACCTCCAGGATATGGGGCTGGCGCCCTACTCCTTTGAGCCACAGGCGTCACCTAGGAGTGGGATTTAAATCCAAAATCTTATTCTTTGAGTGAAGTAGTTATTGATATACATTTATCTGATCAACCTCTTAAAAAGGCATTCTTAAAAAAAAAAATCCACAGTTCTATAAGAATAGCATAACAAATATAGGGACCCATGTTGCATCTTCTTAGCCACATATGTATTGGTGACCCTTTATATTTTTAGTATTTCTTGCAACAGAAGAGACTTGCCCCTCGTTCTGTGGAGATAACTTCACTGTGTTCACTAAGAGTAGTAAATTTGAAAACATAAGAAAAACGATGAATACGTTATATATGTTTATATATTATAAACATTTAAATAGTAAAAATAAATTATTTATATAGTGATTCAAAGAATTTCAGGGGTGTCGATAATTTAATAAATAATGGTATATGTTTCAAATCTAAGTAGAAAATATATCCAATGATTTCATATATAAGAACGTTTATTATTTGGACTGACTGCATTTTATTCATTTTGATAAAATAGTTCTGTTACAAATATATGTTGCTGTTTAATAGGAATTAGTTTTATACACATACATTTTTTTTAGTTTGTAGGATACATTCTACATATGGTCATATTGTGTAATTTTCCTCCAAGGTATCTAGCATCTTCTGTTGTTGTCTTTACGTAAGATACTCATATAATGTTATGTGCATTAGTTGAAATAGCTTGTTTCGAGCTCAATCATTCTTTAATTGATCAAGTAGAAGATATTTTAATTGCACCCAATGGAAAAGGAGAAAAGAGAGATATATTGTCTAGTTACATTGCTTTAAAGAAAGTAGTAACTTCTGCGGCTGCTGTTATAACTAAGAATACCCGGCCATGTAAGTTGTTACCATAGAAATTTATTGTTTAACCATTTTTACATGCTTACCCAAGAGGAAACTGGAATAGCTGGTCTAACATTAATGGAACAAGATTCTTTTTTTCTTAGAACTATTTATACTAGATACAATTAGAATTGTCAGGAATTTTTGTAAGTGTTATATTAGTCAGTGCAAGACAGTTTGTTAATTTGACTTTTTCAGGTTTCTAACAAGTGTGATTACACACATGCAGAGAGGTGGAGGAGTCTTCAAGGGTGAATGAACACTGAAGTTGTGTTTATAATGGGCTGGTGTAATGTTAAACATAGTCCTCTCAAATTCAGTATCTCTCTAGCGGATTGATAAGTACAATTTCTAATTTGTATATTTATTTGGAGAAAAATGGAAATAGAAAATGTGCTAAATATTTGATTTTAGTATATATTACATTTTGTTTCATTTTTTCTCTTATTTGAATCAATATAACATGCTGTACATTATTTCATTTTTAAAGGATAAACTCTGTGTGAGGTCAGTACAGATATAGTCCCTGCATACTCAAGTTTTTAAGTTATAGGATTTGCTTTAATGTGGCCCTGAGCCAAAAAGAAGAAGGCTGAATTAAATTTTATAGACTCCCTGACACTTTCCTTCTTTGGTGCTTTGGCCAAAATATTATTATAAAAAGTAATAGATAGGACATATAGGTCTTCATTCTTGGTGTAGAAAAGAAATGCCCCTGATTAGTTCCGTGACAGCACCTGTAATGGGGAAATTGTGAAGTGTGAATTGAGATTGACTTTGTGGGGACTTCTCAAAATTTGACTGGATTTCAGAAAAGATGAGTAGTTAAGAGAATAACAGAATCATTGTTCAATAACTACAATTTTAATATAAAATAGATCACTGAAGAAATAATTTTAGGTTACGGAAGCCTAGTGTAACCCTTTTGCCTCAATTGGCTAGCAATTTCAATTTTTTTTGGCTGAGACTGTAATTATTTAATTTTAACTCTTTTTCATTTACTTGACTCATATATCACATACTTGAAATGTGATTATATTTTATGCCTCACTTGGCACAAAACTTACTGGAGGAGAATTATCTAATAGTTCAAAGACTTTTGAGTAAATCAGACTTAAATTTTCAATTGGCAGTTGTTAATTGGGCACTTGCTACATGAAAAATATTGTAGAAGCTCTCTTGGACAAAGAAAGTAAGGTAGCTTAAACACCAAGCAGTCTGTGACCTATAGAGGTTGAGATACACAGACACAAGTAACTGTAATCATAGTAGAAAGGTACATCACTGAGGATATTTGAAGAGTGCCAATGAAACATTTTGTGTTTCTTGATTTTAAGTAATACAGGATTTTAGCCATTTGGAAGCATGCCTTCATCACATCAGTTTAATTATCTATTATGCAAATAGTTGAAAATCTTAAAACAATGTTTTAAATGAAAGAGGAAATGTAATTACCTTGCCAGTATTGTTTTTGTTTCTTTTTCTGTAAAATGGGAATAATGCCTACTTTATAATTTCATTAAGAGTTTTCTGACTAAGCATTCTAAAATGAAATAATCAAGCTAGCTTTTTATCTGAACAAGTGAATGATAATTATCTTTTTTTGAGACAGTGTCTCAAACTGTTGCTTTGAGTACAGTGCTGT